CTGTCTATCTGTGTATGTGCGTATGTGCATGCATGTGTATGTATGTGTATGGACGTATGCATGCATGTATGCATGCATGTATGTATGTTTGTCTGTTTGTATGAATGCTCGTATGTATGTATGTATGCACGCATGTACGTACGCATGTATGTATGCATGTATGCATGTCTGTACGTATGTATTGTGGCCGTCGGCCCATCCCTCCAGCGTGCCTGGGTTGTGGGTTGGAGGCCTCTTGGATGTTCGTTTGGATGTCGTGAGGGGCCCCTCGGGGGCCTCTTGGAGGCAGTTTTGAGGCTTCTTGGGGGCCATTTGGGGGCCTCGTGGGGCATCTTGTTGGGCCTACTGGGGCCTCTTGCGCTCTCTTGGGGGCCTCTTGGGGCCTCCTGGGGGCCTCTTGGGGCGGAAGGCTCGAATTGTCGCTTCGTGCTCCCCCTTTGTTGGCCCTCCTTGGGGCCGTCTTGGGGCCCTCTTGGGCGATCTTGGGCGCCTCTTGGACAGTTTTGGGGCCCTCCTGCGCCATCTTGGACCGTCTTGGGGCGGTCTTGGGGGCCTCTGGGGCCACCTTGGAGCGCTGGAAGCCCGAAGACGCAAAAACGCGAAGCACATCGAGGCACATAAGGACAAGCAATGATGTTTGCATTGTTGGGCCCTCTTGGGGGTCCTCTTGGAGCGCTCTTGGGGCTTCTTTAGGGCCTCTTAGGCCGTTCTGGAAAAAGTCACGCGGGACAGCCCAAGAGCGCGCGGGAACGCCCAGGAAATTTGAGAGTCGGTGGCCCCAGCCCTTAGAATTCTATAGGGCAGAGGACACATGAGAGCGTGAGGGTAACTCCATTTCGTGCCTCAAGGCACGGTGCCAGATATCTACATATCTCTTATATATACGAACCCACGTATATTAGTAAACGCGTTCCCGTTTTATGCGCACCGGCGCATAGGCGGTTTCGGTCGACGAGTGGACGAGCACGGATTGTATGTCTTATTGGGGCGTTTTACTCGCGTGTGCGATTCACCTCATCGAAAATTCCTCCGCTTTCAGTCGCAGTGCCAAGACTCGTGTGGTCACGATGATGTCTCTGTCTCTGCGAGGCTGCCTACGCGGTGTTCGGGGTGAGACGTGTGTGACCTTTTTTTTGTTTACATATCGCATGGCCACATAGTGGCACTCGAAATACAAGGCAAATCTTTGCTTTTGTCTCACACGGTGTTCGGGTTGATATGTACCACCTTGGTGCTTTCTTTTACTGCATGGTACGGTGTTGGGCCAGGGTGCATTTGGCAGATGCGTTTTTTGCTCACCAGGTTGTTGGGGTGACACGTTTCACCCTGGTGGTTTCTTGTACTGCATGGCCCCATGTTGGCCGTCAGAATACAGTTGAGTTTTCGCACACGGTTTTCGGGATGGCCTGCGCCATTTGTGGTGTTTTCTTATGTTGCATGGCCCCATGCAAGCCATCAGTATACAAGTGTAATGCGTAGTTATTTTGCTCGCACAGTTTTCGGAGTGACACGTGCCGCCCCTGGTGCTTGCTTGTGCTAAGCGGCCCCATGCTGGCCGTCATAATATAAGTAGAAGAAGTTGTGGTTTTCTCACACGGTGTTAGGGGTGACGCGTGTCATCCTGATGGTTTCTTATATTGCATGGCCTCATGTTTGCCTCCAGCATATATCTGTGACACACGTGGTGTGTCTTGTACTGTGTTCGGGTTGACACGTGTCACCTTGTTGCCGTCTTAGATTGTTTGGCGCTATGTTGGCCTTCAGACTACAAGTGAAACACGTTGTCGTTTCTCACACGTCTTCCCGGGTGACATGCCCTCAGCATGCAAGTTAAAGTCTTGTCTTTACCCGTCATGGATTTCAGGGTGACACGTGCCACCCTGGCGCTGTCTTGTATTGCATAGCCCCATGTTGGCCTCAGAATACGAGTGAAACAATTTGTTTTTTCTCACACGGTTTTCGAGTTGACCCGTCTTACCTTGGTGTTTTCTTTTCATGCATGGCCCCATGTTGGCTGCCAGCGTGCAACACATACATTTGGCAGTCTCACATGGTGTTCGGGGGTGGAACGTGTCACCATGATGTTGCCTTATATAGCCTGGCCCCATATTGGCCCTCATAATAGAAGTGGGACAGTTGGTTTTTCTCACACGATGTTCAGGGTGACACGTGTCAGCCTGGCGCTTTCCTATCTTGCATGGTCCCATGTCAGCCCTCATCGTACTGGTGAAACGGTTGTGTTTCGCACACGGTGTGTGGTGCGACATGTGTCACCTTAGCGTTTCCTCATACTGCCAGGATGCAAGTGCAACAATTAGTTTGTCTCACGCGATGCCGAAATAGCACGTGTCACCCGAGTGTTGTCTTATTACATGGTCCCATGTTTTCCCCGAGGGTACAAGTACGGCTGTTGGTTTTCTGTCACGGTTTTCGGAATGGCACGTGTCACATAGGTGATTTCTTTTATTGTATGGCCTCATATTGGCCCTCAGAATACAAGTGAGACACTTTGTTTTTCTCTCACGGTTTTTGGGGTTGCAAATGTCAGCCTGGCGTTTTCTCATACCGCATGGCCCCACGTTGGCCCTTAGAGCATTGGGCGCCCCACACTGGCAATTCGCAGCCGTGACCGTGGCACACCCGAAAGATTGTTCAATGGTGGACTGCTCGTTTCGACACGGTTTTCGAGAGGCACGCGTTTTCTTTGCATTGCACGGCGTCTTGTTGGCCCAAAGAACATAGGTGAAACCGTTGTTTTCCTCACACGCTTTTTGGCTTGACTTGTGTCGCCCTGGTGCTTTCGGATACTGCATGGCCCCATGTCGGCCTTCATCATGCAAGTGCCAACAATTTTTTTTTTCTGACGCTGATCCCGGGTGACACGTGTCACCCGGGATGTTTTCTGATTGCAGAGCCCCGGATTGGTCCTCAGATTACTAGTGAAAGAGTTCTTTTTTCATTACCCGTAGTGGCCTTCCAGATACAAGTGAAACAATGTGTTTTTTTTTATCACACGGTTTTAAGTATGGTTCGTGACAGCCTAACGCTCTCTGATAATGCAGCGCCCCAGGGTGGCCATCAGAATACGAGTGAACCAGTTTGTTTTTCGCACACGGTCTTCGGGTTGACCCGTGTCACCGTGGTGCTTCCTTGTATTGCATGGCCCCACGTTGGCCCACAAGAGTACGAGTGAGGCGAACAGCTCTTCTCTCACTGCTTTCGGGTTGACCCCAAGGGTTCGGTAGCCAGTCATGGGAGCCTGGTGTACCCTTTCAATTCCGTCTTTAGCGTCGGTTAGCGTCGATTAGCGTCTGGGGGTCGATGAGAGAACGCCGATTTAGCGTCAGTTAGCGTCGGTTAGCGTCGATCTAGCGTCGATTAGCGTCGACTAGAGTCGATTAGCGTCGATTCGCAAGAGCCGACAAGATGGTATGGGAGGCTCCCGTGAGTTGCCACCGAACAAGGGGGCGCGCGGGGGGGGAGTGGTCCTCGAGCGCGGCCTCTCTCCAGGCCGGGGCTGCAGGGTGTGGCCGGGCGCGGCCCGACGCCAGACGGGAGCGCGCAGGGACGGGCCCAGGAGCGCGGAGCGCCAGGGTCGCGGGGACGTCGCCTTCGCAATCCTCCTCCTCCTCCTCCTCCTCCTCCTCCTCCTCCTCCTCCTCCTCTTGCCCCTCCTGTCTTCATCAACGAGGACAGATCCACCCCGACCCCCCTAATCGGCGTTTGCTAAACGGCCCCGTGCGTTTACGAAACAGCGCTTTCTTGTTCGATTCCCTCGTCGGGTGCGTTTACGAAACGGCCGCGGCGTCGGGGTGCTTATGATCACGGTGGATCTCCAGCCCGGGGAACAGCTTTCTTTGAACCGTCCCGCTCGGATCGGTCCCACGGTGTTCTCAGACATCGCAGAGACCTTGTCGGACACCGCCCGGCCGGGCCGAGGACGTGGTGGCAGATCTCGGGGCAGCTTGGAGCCGCTCGTGGGAGCCTCGAGGAGCGCCCGCGGTGGCCGCGAGTGGCGCCGCCGAGCTCCCGCGCTTCCCTAGGACGCCCCGCTGGCAGGCTGCTCATCCCGAGCAGCGTTTCGATTCGGCTGTGCGCAAGGAGTGACCTTCGGCTGACGTGACCTCTTGTTCGGAGGCAACGATTGGGGGGGACCCCCAATCGCCCATTGATCGCCGACGGGGGTCCAATAGCCCCAACCCGCCCAGGAAGGTGCGGATTCACTGTCGGGGGCCCATCGCCGATCTATCGGCGATGGATCGCCGAGTCCAGGTCGATGTGTCCCCCCCTATGCCAGGCCCCCCCGATCTCAGGCGCGGCAAAGAGGGGGGTGAGGACTAGGGGGGGATGGATATCATGGCGGGGGCCATGATATCTCACCTGATTTCGTGGCGCCTCTTCTTATTTCATGACGTCCCTGGCCCCCCCCCAAGGGCCGCGCACATGCCGCCGGTCATGATTTGCACCCCCCCCCTCTTGGACACCCCCCTCTTGGCCGCTCCCGACGATCGTAGCCCCCAATCGAGGCGGGCACGTTGGGGTCCCCAGATGGCCGAACTCGATGCGACGGCAGCGGCAAGCGCGCGCGCCGGCTCGGCCTCCCCGCGGCCCCCCGAGAGGCGCGCACCCAGGGGGGGCCACTCGTTGCCGAGGGGGCACTTCTTGCGTGCAGCCGATTCGACGGCCGCGGGGCCCCCGGCATGGGTTTCCAGAGGTCCAAGGTTCGGGCCGGGCGAAAGGGGGGGATTGGGAAAGGGGGGGGTACGAAATTTGCTGCATGCAGCTGGTGTCGGCCTCACCGAGGGGCCCATTCCTCGATACGTGGGCGCCTCCCGGCGCCGGGAGGCGCCGGGAAAATCAGCTACGTGAGCTGATTCTCAAATCCCCCCTTTGCTATCCCCCCTTTCGCCCAACCCGAAAGGTTCACCGAGCGCGTTCCAGTAACTCGCAGACGCCCGAAAAACACATGCCTGCTTCGATGTAATGTATCGTAGGTCCCCCGCGGCGGATCCAGGCCATTTGCGAGCAGTCACACTGCGAGTAGTGGAGCGCGCTCGTCTGAAGGTGGCGAACGACCAGTCGTCGTGTCTTGGCTCCAGCCGTCAGATGTCGGGGCTCCCCCTTTCAGGCGGCCCAGGAGGCCCCCGGAGAGGGCGGTCGGTCAGTTGTCTCCCGCGCCTCCTCGCCCCAAGAGAGCGGGGGCCTTGGCGGATGACCTGCCACCTCGCGCTCAAGGTGCCCAAGACCGCCGTGGGCAACAACAAGACTCTCGGCATGTCGGTCGGCGGCGAGACGCGGCAGTGGAGGGAGGGCGAGTGGCTGTGCTTCGAGGACTCGTTCGAGCACAAGGCTGGGCGGTTAACAATGAGTTCTGAATGGATGAACTTAGACTGAGGTTCCAGGCGTTCGAAGTGAGAACTTATACATGCCAATGAGTTCAACCGTCCATCGTGTCACGGGCACCAACACGGTTGTCTGCGGACGCAAGCGTCCGCAGACTTCCCGTGCCGTGAGGCAGAACAGAAGAGCACGCCATCGCTGTTGTTATTAAGCCTGGGGCTCTGGAGGCCAGTTTCTGTTTTCGTGCGCGAGCCCCTCCCCCACTCTTGACATGGGGTATTCGATTGCCACTACCCTAGCAAGAGTATGGATGCCCCTCCAGACCTTGACGGCTTCGGCGCGCATCCTTCGAGGTGTGGAATGTGACCCATCTTCTACCACCAGTAGCATTTGTGGCGGTGATGGAAACCCGGGTCGCTGGCACCGCTGAGAGAAAAGCACCGTGTGGTAGAATCGGGGAATGAGGACCCGGGGGACGCCTCTCCCGCCCGACAGGTTTGGAACTTCGGCAAGTCGCCGAGAGTGGTGCTGCTCGTGTCCATGCTGCACCCGAGGAGGTGGGGCGCCAACGGCGCTGGCGCGTCGCAGGACGACGGCTCCAGGTCACCCGCCGAGGCCTGAGGATGGCCGTGCCTCGTGCGCCGCGGCCGGGGCTGTGCACGCTGCCTTCCTCCATGAGGTGCGGCGCAGAGCGAGAGGCTCGGTGACCGAAGGGGGGCGCCCGTGCTGGCCCCTGCTCCTGCCGAGCGCCCCTGGCCGCGTCAGGCTTCCGTCGGGCGTGTCCCTCTCACGGGAGGAGTGTCCGAGAACAGCAAGAACACGGCCTGGGGACGCTGGTCCGTGCCCTTTGGACTTTTGTCTGCTACGCTTGTGGGCAATTGTGCTTGCTTTTTCACACGGGCTCCGCCTGCAGGAGGACATGCCCGACCTGATGTCAGGGTCCCCGGGGCGCCCAGCAGGGACGCCAGTGCGTGCCGTGGCATTGCGGGCAGGAGGCTTTTTTTGTCGGAAGCGGCGTATTTTCACTCATGTTTTCCACGTATGTTTTGCAGCGCCTCTTTTCTGTATTTGCGCCGCGCGCCCCACCGCGCCGCAGGGGTGCTCTGGTGCCCAAGCGCGCGGCGCGGCGCCGTCGACAAGGGGATGCCCGGACCCCTGACCCCATGGCGATTCTTACTTGCCCCTCCTCCTCCTCCTCCTCCTCCTCCTCCTCCTCCTCCCCCTCCTCCTCCTCCTCCTCCTCCTCCTCCCTTCTCCTCTTCCTCCCTCCTCCTCTTCCTCCTCCACCTCCACCTCCTCCTCCTCCTCCTCCCTCTTCCTCCTCCACCTCCCTCTTCCTCCTCTTCCTCCTCCTCCTCCTCCTCCTTCTCCTCCTCCTTCTTTTCCTCTTCATCCCCCTCATCCTCCTCCTCATCCGGATGGCACTCCGAATGCCACCTCCCCCCTTGCAGAGGGTGGGGGCGCTCGGGGGAAAAAGGTTGTCGGAAGCGACCTTCGGTGCGCCGTGCGTGCCGAGAGAGTGCGCTCACCATCACACCATCGCCTCTCCCTCATCACTCTTTCTCGCTCTCTCCCGCTCTCTCTCTCTCTCTCTCTTTCTCTCTCTCTCTAGTCGGGGGTGGACAGGACCCCCACCCTGACACATCGATTCGTGAATTGTCCGTTTTCGGTTCTCGAGAGGGCGCCGCGGCCGTCTCTTTCCAGGCTCGCGCCCGCCAGGTTTGGGCCCGAGCTCGTTTTCACTGAACCACGTCTTACTAAAGGAGGTTCTGTCCATCCCCGACCTAGTCGGCGGCGAGCGCGGGGGGGAAGTGAAAAGGAGAAGGCCTTCTCGGAAGGCGGCGGGACTTCTCAGAAGTCCTCGCGCCTTCCAAGAGGTGCTCTGCGTCTTCGGGGGAAGGCTTAGAAAACGTCTCAGAAGGCCAGGGGACTTCCGAGCCTTCTGAGAAGGCCCGCCCCGTCTCATTCCCCCCCCCTCGCTCGCCGCCAATATGGTGTCTCCACGGTCTGATGGTCTGCTTGTGTTCGGGCCCTTTCCGTTCCACGGTGGCGCTCCTGGACGTACGTGCGGCCGCGCGGCGACGGCGGCGGCGGCTGAAATCGGCGGTGACCACGACGCTGACGACGGCGGCCATGCAACGCTCATTTGATGCAGGCTCTCATCTACTTCGCTCCATTCTGGCCAGTTGGATGCCACTGCTGTCCATGAGTTGTTGCCATCCCCCTCTGCGACCTCGCCCTCTCGCCCTTCTCGTTGCCACGGCCTCCTGCCAAAGAGTCGGGGAGGCTCAGGCAGGGGTTTGGCCCCAGGCGTGATGCGGCGATGCAGCATCAGCAGGATGAGAAGGAGGAAGGTAAGGTCGAATGACAGGAGGTCGAGGAGTTGCAGCGGCAGCAGGAGGATGTGGATCGGCAGCAGGACTGGCTAGATGAAGGGGGAGGAGGCGGAGGGAGGGAGGAGGAGGAGATTCTCCGCAGGGAGTTTCCTCTTCCTTCTCCTGATCCACAGTCCCTTGTAATACTAAGGGCTGTCAGCCCCGCTGGGAGCTAGGCCCTTCTAGTATGAGGGACCCCTGCTGCATACAGATTCCCCAAACAGTGCTTGCACTTAGGGTTTCTTATTTCTCTTCTGTAGAACTGGGCTTGTTTGGCGGTCTGGCGGCTATGTTGCCGCCGTCTCCCCGACGCCGCCTCGTCGCCGCCCGTCGTCTGAGACAAGGTGGCCGTCTGGCGGCTATGTTGCTGCCGTCGACGCCCCGTCGCCGCCCGTCGTCTGGGCCTGGGTGGCGGTTTGGCGGCTACATTTTGTGCCGTCGCCGCCTCGCTGCGCTTACGTATCTTTTCTTTTTTTTCGGATCTACTCCCCCCGCTGGGTTAATGGGCCACCTTGTCGTATCACAATTTACATGTGATTCTGCCTCATCGTCCATCCTAAATATGAACTCATATCACCCCAGCCAGTCCGGAGTTTGGTACCCCCGCTCATCCTTTGCAAAAAACGTTATGCGCGCGCACTCGTTGATCAAACATCACCCGTTTCAATAATCCCTTGCAAACAATAGGACGAAGTGCGCACGCGCGCGTCGTCGCGCGCGCATGCCGAAATCTTTCAAAACACATGTGCCGTAGGGATTTCAAAATCGACTGCCCCAAAGACATAACATTAGCCTGGCGAAGACCCACCCATTTGTAGCTGTGGGTACTGCCGTTGTATGCGCCGCATTCGGTGGAGCTCCCTTTGGGGCCACGAATCGTGTGAAGGGGTGTGCCAAAATGGGCGCGGTGGGCGAATGCGAGCGCTGGCATTTGGGCCTTCGGCGGGAGTTCCCCATGGGGCGACGAAACGTGTGAGGGGTGTCCCAACATGGGCGCGGCGGGCGCATGCGAGCGCTGGCATCTGGGCCTTCGGTGGAGCCCCCTATGGGCCTATGGGGCCACAAAACGTGTGAGAGGTGTGCCAAGATGGGCGCGGTGGGCGCATGCGGGCGCTGGCATATGGGCCTTCTGTAGGGCCCCCTATGGGGCCAAGAAGCGATTAAGGAGTGCCCCAACATTGGCGCGGTGGGCGCAAGCGAGCGCTGGCATGTGGGCCTTCGGTGGAGCTCCCTATTTGGCCACAAACCAAGTGAGGGGTGTGCCAACATGGGTGCGGTGGGTGCGTGCGAGTGCTGGCATCTGGGCCTTTGGTAGAGCTCCCTATGGGGCGACGAAGCGTGTGAGTTGTCTGGGTGCGGTGGGCACATGCGAGCGCTGGCATGTGGGCCTTCGGTGGGGCTCCCGATGGGGCCACAACACGTGTGAGGGGTGTGCCAACATGGGTTGCGGTGGGCGCATGCGAGCGCTGGCATCTTGGCCTTCGGCGGGGCTCCCTATGAGGCCACTAAACGTGTGAGGGGTGTGCCAAGATGGGCCCAGTGGGCGCATGCAAGCGCTGGCATGTGGGCCTTCGGTGGGGCTCCCTATTTGGCCGCGAAGCGTGTCAGGGGTGTGCCAAAATGGGTGCGGTGGGCGCATGCGAGCGCTTGCCTGTGGGACTTCGGTGGGGCTCCCTATGAGGCCACTACGTGTGAGGGGTGTGCCAATATGGGCGCGGCGGGCGCATGCGAGCGTTGGTATCTGGGCCTTCGGTGGAGCCCCCTATGGGACCACAAAACGTGTGAGAGGTGTGCCAAAATGGGCGCGGTGGGCGCATGCGAGCGCAGGCATCTTGGCCTTCGGTGGAGCTCCCTATGGGGGCACACATCGTGCTTGTGGTATGCCAAAATGGATGCGGTGGGCACATGCGAGGGCTGGCATTTTTACCTGTGGTGGAGCTCCCTTTGTGGCCACAAACCAAGTGAGGGGTGTGCCAACATGGGTGCGGTGAGCGCATGCGAGCGCTGGCATCTGAGCCTTCGGTGGAGACCCCTATGGGGCGACGAAACGTGTGACGGGTGCGCCAACATGGGTGCGATGGGCGCATGGGTGGCGGTCCCCGCATGCGGACTCTGCCACTGTGGCCTTCGGTGGAGCTCCCTGTGGGGCCACGAGCCGTGTGAGGGGTGTGCCAGAATGGGATGGACATGCGGCGAGCACAGGCAGGGGATGGGAGGAGGGAGGAGGGGGAGGAGGAGGAGATGAGGGGTTACGCGTGGCGCTGTCCCTTCAAAACGAGGACCCAACACCCCAGGATGGTTGGAAACTTACTCGACGCGGAGATTCCCATATTTGCATCTCATTAGTGATGGCAAGCTTCGGTAGAAGATATTGTCCTTTCAGTATCTGAGTGTCAGCGAATACTACACATGGAAACGAGGCTGAGAGAGACTCTGACGACTACGACGCCTTTACGTAGTTGTTTGTTCCTTCCGTCCTCCTCTTCCTTGTCCTCCTCCTCTTTCTCTTCTTTTCCCTACGGACAACACCTGTCAGGAAAATCAATCCGTGAAGTGCAATACCCCCTGGCGCCCCACCCCCGGAGTGCTAAAACCAGCGCCTCGTCTGAGACATCCTCGGAAACTGCTCCGAACGAGAAGGATGTTGAGAACCCAAACAGGCAAACCGCCTGAGACATCCCCCCAATTTTGGCGCGAAAGGTCCCGTGCAATACCCCCTGGCGCCGCCCCTTGGGAGTGCTGAAACCAGCGCCTCGCTTGAGACATCCTCGGAAACTGTTCAGACATATAAGGATGTTGGGCACCCAAACAGGCAAACCGCCTGAGACGTCCCCCCAATCTGGGCGCGAACGGGCCTGTGATTTTTACCATGGCGCCCCCCTTGGGAGTACTGAAACCACCGCCTCGCCTGAGACATCCTCCGAACCTGCTCTGAAAGCGGAGGTTGTCGGGCACCAAAACAGGCAACCCGCTCGATACTTCGCAAGGTTAGCGCGAACGGAGCATTGCAATACTCCCTGGCGCCCCCTCTTTGGAGCATTCCCTCTTTGGAGCATTGAAACCAGCGCCTCGCCTGAGAAATCCCTGGCGCCCCCATTGGGAGTACTGAAACCAGCGCCTCGCCTGAGACATCCTCCGAACCGAGAGAACGCATTTCACGGGCGCTTGCCTGGGGAACATTCGGCGGCGCGTTTCGAACCGGGGGGTGGGCCCCCCCACCCAACACTCGGCGCCGTCGATCAAAACCAGGGGGACTCCCCTCCCCCCAAACCCCCCCCTCCCGAACCCCCCGCCCACCCCCCCTCCCAAGGAAGGGGGGGGTTCAGCCCCCCCCCCCGCGGCGCCGGCGCCAGCGTTGGCGGCCGCCAGCAGCGCCCACGGCGGGGACGCAGCGACGATGACCAGAGGCAGCCAAGGCGGGGGAGGGGGGGGAGGTTCAAACCCCCCTCCCTGGGCGCCGGGGGGCGGGAGCGGGTTTCAACCCCCCCCCGTCCCGCTTGCGCCGGCGCTGGCGGCGGCCAGCAACGCCGGCGCTGGCGCCGACGATGGCGGGGACGCAGCGACACTTACCACCACCACCATAGCCACCACCACCACTGCTTCAACTCACCACCACCGTCACCAACAGCACCACACAACCACCACACCACCACCATCACCACCAACATAGCCACCACCACCACCACCACAACCACCACCACAATTCACCATCACCACCACCACCACAAAAACCCACCACCGCTACCACCACCACCACCACCACAAACTACCACACCACCACCACCGCCGCCACAACCACCACCACTACCAGCAGCACAACCCACTGCCACCACCACAAACTACCACACCACCACCACCACCACCACCACAACAAACGTCCACAAACCACCGCCACCACAACCCACCACCACCACCACAAACTACGACCACACCACCACCACACCACCACAACCACCACCACCACCACAACTCATCATCACCACCACCACAAAAAACACCACCACCACCACAATCTACCACAACACCACCACCACCGCCACAACCACCACCACAACCAGCAGCACAACCCACCACCACCACCACAAACCACCACACCACCACCACCACCACCACCACCACCACAGCCACCACCACCACCACCACCTCCACAAACCACCGCC